TATCTCCCTTTTGGTCTTCCTCGACTTTTTGGTCTTTAATGATGCCTTCTTCATCCATTGGGATAGTCGGTTGTGTGTCTTTTAATATCAAAACTCCACGCGCAAACTTCTTTACTGGGACATAACGACTTCCTTCGACTTCTTGGATCACACTGAATTGTCGTGGCGTTACACGACTGCCATTCACAAGCTTCAAAAATGGCTTCTCCTCGACTTTGACTTCTTCCATTTGCGTCTCTGCGACAATTTGATTCTTCATGCGGTCGGAGACTAATAAACTCGACGACAAATTCATTTGTGTTTGTGGAGTTTTCTTTGCATAAGAAAGAACCGTTTGATTCATTTTAGCATGGCCAGTCTTGACAGGGGGCTTTGTCATTGGGAGGTAGTCATACGTCGACGATGGCGCATTGGAGATGTATTCATATGTCGAGACATATTTCAAGTCCGGCGTCACTCCAATAATCGTTGTTGGCGCAAACGACAAGCTGAGGGCCAAAGTGAATGGGTACCAATACCAATACTGATTGAATAACACTAACCCAGCCACCGCTTTCATATTAAATGTACCCAACGTGTTATACATCGATATCGTACAATTCCTCCCTCCAGCATTTAATACGCCAAGCCCAACTATCGCACCAAATTGCGTTAAAATGCCTTCACTCTTCGAATTGATTTTCGTCTGCAAATTCTTCACAAAGTCATCCACCTTCCCATTCTCTTTCAATGACGTCTGGAGATATACCATTCCCATCGCTATACAAGCACCTTGCTTCACAAAATCACTCGGGTCTTTTAATAACGGCTCAAGTAAACTGATGATTTGCGAATTGTTTGATCCACACCCAGCTATCCCTAACGCTAAAGCTGCTCCATATCTCACATGTGGATTATAACTATCTATTAACAATAATATCGTCTTACAAAGTTCATCAACTTTTTTCAGTAACACAAAGCCAAGACACAACACCGCTGCACGTTTGACTTCATCATTTCGATCAGTCACCGCAAAATGAAGAAGTTTATTAATCGCCTTTTCACTCGCAGTCCCACAATACGCTAATGCACACGTATACACTCCTCCATATCGCATCACATGATTCGAATCATTTAACATCATCTCTATTATCCCATCAGCCTTTTCTTGTGTCCCAAACATAACTAATCCTACACCGACTCCAGTCCCTCGTATGATCTTATCATGCTCAGTCTCTCGACAATGAACTACTAACTCTTCAGCTACTTCTAAATTCCCAGACCCCATCATTATCATCCCAAGTCCAAGTCCAGCACTCATCCCTGCTACAGCACTGTCATTGTTCATTAACACTTCTTTCATCTCTTCATAGATCTCAAAATCCTCAGTAGCTATCCCAGCTAATCCAACACCTAAACACGCTCCATGCTCAACTACTTCATTCTTTAAGTTCTTCGATTGCTTCAAATCGTCGATTAATGTCGGCATAATCTGCGTCCCATGTCCTCCAAAGATCAATCCAAGTGCATATAAACGTCCAGCCTGTGCATAAACACTCTTCCCACCATTCCCATTCGCGGTATACGGACTCATCAACTCTAATGCTTCACTCTGGCGCCCTTTAAACAACACTCCAAGCGTCGCCGTCGTCGCAAATTTCGCCCAATTCGACGCGTTGACAATCCACTCGTTGTTGTCCTTCAAAAACATGATGTTTGTAGTTCCGTAGTGCATGAACGCATTCGCATACAACACCGCCATTTGTATCATACTGTTTTTTATACACGTCGCCGACTTGATGTTGTTCAACAGCAAATTGTCGGTCTTGTCCTGCGAGAACAAGAAGTTCAAGTACAACTTCTCTTGTATTTTACCGTCAATATAAGGAGTATACGCTGCGGGGAGTTTCTTAATTAACTCGCTCCTAAACTTCTGTGGGATCCCGTCGTAGTCGAGAAGGACTTGCATCTTCATTTCTTCATTCAATTTGTTGAACATCGTCATGAAGCCATCGGAGTCATTTGTCTTCATCCAAAACTCACTGATTGACTGTAAATCGACTTGATTCTGAGATAAAAGACAATCAGACATGACTTCCATTAAACTCCCTTTCATCGTGTTATTCACTTCTAAGTCCGACATGATCCGCCGCAAATACTTCAACAGACTTTCTTTGTCGCTCGCGACTTCTAAGACTCTTTTAATGACATCGACCCGTTGCGCGTCGAGAGCTATTCCTATTGTGATGTATAACTCATTCGCAGCGATCCCCTCTTCAAAGAAGGTGTTGATGACACTCTCTAATTCATTCGGAATTGACTTCCTCGTGTGCTTCAAGGTGATGTACATCTCAATGGAGTGCGTTATCATCTTGTTAGCATAATCCGTGTTCCCAGTAAAGTGGAAGTACTCCCCCGAGCGCAACGCATATGTCACTGCGGAGTCATACTCCCCTATATAGAAATATGCTTTGCTCACTACAAAGTTGGCTATGGACTGCAACTGAGAATCACTCGTCTCACTTATCTCAACTAAACGAGGAAGCTCTTCTGTAATCTCCGCCCATGTCGTAGATATCGTACTCTCTATCTCATGTAACGCACGGAAGAGTTGATTCGGGTCTTTACTATACAACTGTGGTAACAATGTCGATGTGTCGGTCATCACTTTCTTCTTTTACAGTTCTTTGAAGTTTGTATCTCATCCTTTTGAAGTATTTTTATGGTTATTTATTAATTTAATTATAGTTTGTCATTGGTTGTATTATAACATTTTTAAATGGTGGTTGTGTTTTTTAGGGACTTTTATTATTGTTTATAAGATAGTTTTATTATAGATATAAACTAGTTTTTCTGATACAATAATTTGTAACAATAAATATATAGTATATTTTATTATAATATAGTATACAAAAAGTTACAAGAAAATGAAAGATAAAAAAAATCACAACACCAAAAAGTGAAATTTTTTTCACTTTTTTGAGGTTTAAAAAATTGAGATGAAATACGTCAAAAACTTTTTTTACTTAAATCAATAAAATTTACTACTTAAATTAAATTATATAATTTCTATTTAATTTACTAATAATAAGTTTTTTTAAAAGAATATTATAATTTATTATATTAAATATTAAATAAAAAAGAGTAAAAAAATATCTAATAATATACAATTAACCTTACTCAGCGATCTTCCTTTTTTTAATTATAGAACAGAACTCATAATATCTTAAAATTATTGTGTACACATCACCACTTTTCTTTGCTTTTTAAGATAAAAACCCATTTTATTACAACAACATTACGAAAAATATTATTCTTTTACTCTTATTAAAAATAAAAAACAAAATGTATTAAAAAGAGTATAATAGTTATTTACACACAAAATTAATAAGATGTTTACACGTTTTAATAAAAAAATGATAAATTCATAAAAATATGTTTAATTATACTTGAACACGAAATCATTATTATAATTACCATTTTATTAACAAAAAAAATAAATCACTCACAATTACAAGAAAAATAAAAATGTCATTATTTCTTTTCATAAAAAATATTTGTACATTTTTGAGAAATAAAAAATGTATTATTTAAAATAATCTTTTTAATTAATAACACAGTGTGATGAATTATAAAGAATTCATTGTTGAATTTAACGGAAAAAAATTGTGCAGCATTTGTCGTAAAGAAACTGATAATATTAAAAGCCACGCAAATAGAATTCACAAACAATTTATAAACATGTTTAAAGAAGATCATCAGACTTTTATGTGTATTAAACAACGTATCTTTGAATCATCACGAAACGAAAATATGTTACCAATTTTAGAACTTCCCCATCAAAACACATTTTTTAATTATGAGTTTTGGCATCCAACTATACCATTAATAAGTAAAAAAGAATTGGTTAATTTTGACACAAAATTTCATACAATAACTCCATTAAATGAATGGGTTTTAGCGAAAAAAGAATTTAAATATTTTGTAGCAAAAATCATTTCAAAGAAAATGTTGCCTGTTGGAATGGGAAGTGTAATTTTAGAGTCATTGAGTTGTTTTTTTAAATTTGTTGAAAAAAATGAATTATAAAAACCCACAATTTGATGTTTTGTGCACATTTGTTAGTGAACTGAAATTAGGAGAAAAGGCGATGAGAAATTTTATAATTTTGATTGGGAATTATTTGAAAAACAAAACTATTTTAGAAATAAATAATTCAGAGTGTGTTGGTGTTCAATTTGATGAAACGACAGATTGTGCTTCAAAATCACAACTCATTGTTTTTGTTAGAATTGTAAATTCAGATTTAGTCGTACATGACACCTTTTTAACAATTATCCACAATAAAAACCATAATAATTCTTCAATTTCAACAAAAAGTGCAATTATTAATTATTTTGAACAAGAACATATAGATTTAACAAAAATAACAAATTTGACAACTGACTCGTGTATAACTATGGAAAAAACTAAAAATTTTTAGTTGATAATTTAATTGATTTGGGCGTGAAAGAAGTTTTTAGAATTAAATGTGCATTACATCAAGAAAATTTATGTGCAGCAGTATTAAAAAATGTCATGTTATTGAAACCGTCAATTTGTTTTTAAGTTGGGTATTTGGAAGTCCGAAAATTAAAGATACCATGAACACATTTTTTAGAACGCAAAATGCACCTTGTCAATCAATTTTGGGTTATTCAATCACAAGGTGGATCACTCGCGCGACTTCATTAGTAATAATTTTTTTAAATTATTCATGTATAATATCTTACATTAATATATTCTACCCCAAAAACAAAAAATCAATAATAATTGTTGAAAAAATGAGTTCTGAACAATTTTATATTGATTTGGCCTTTTTGGTTGATATTTTAAAACAATTTTCATCAATTTGTAAACTTCTCCAAACAAACACTCTGAA